GATTGCGAAGCGCTAGATCCCAACGCACTAATGGTCATGCCTGGGCCACTGAACGAACCTCGATGGCCATCCAGGGCCTGAGATGCGGCCGGGCCTGGCTGATCCCACTCTCTGTCCCGGTCTTTTAGCGCTGGGAAAGACAGACGAGAGACAGGTGATCGGATGCAATTAGAGGACACAGAAGAAGAACATGAGGACAAACGAGGAGAGGAGAGAGAGAAAGGAGAAGATGACCGGCGAAGTGGAGCGGAGGAGGAGCTCTTGGTGTCCTGCCCGAGCCGACCCCCGTGCTTCCTCAGCCAGGATCGCGGCAGGGATCAGAAGAATCTGCAGGTGATCATGTCGCGGTGCATCAACATTCGCATCCCCACACGTCCAGACAGACCCCACGAGGAGGCGGAGGACGATGGGGAGGGCACGGAGCACGCTTTGAAGGGTCCCTTTGTTTGGCAAGATCTTTTAGCAACCAGCAGCTCCATTGCAAATCTTCAAATCGGATGAGTGAGTCAAGGAGAAGTGCAATAATGCAAACTGAGCGAGGTCACCAGTGTAAACAATGAGCCGAGAACAGCGCGAACCCTGCAGCCCACGAGACCCTTCAAGCCCGAGCTGCTCAGTAGAAGTAACTTCTAGAAAGACGCACACCCTTTGATATTTCTCGCACTTTCTGATCCTTCACGCCTCCTCAATTCCTCCCTCTCTTGCTCATCTTCCTGACCCCCCGCACAAGCTACTGATTGGCTGGAGGCAAGACATGAGGCGAAACCAGGTGTGGGTGACAGGCCCCCAGCTGTTCACAAGACAATAACAACTGCTACAGGAGATTAACTTAAGCTGCTGCTGCCGCCGCTGCTCACGTCCCCTGTGGGTTCGCTCGCATGCAGCCGGACCTGCTGCATGTTACGATTAGCGATGACGAGTTTTCCTAGGATGAATAAAAGCAAATGCATTTGTATCCTAGTCAGCAAAGCCCACGAAAAGACCAAAACCACTTATATATTCATCCACCGGGTGATTAGCCCGGCTGTAGCCTCAGCTGTGCTCAGATTTAACACTTGCTTTTGAGAAACGACTTTAAAAAGACTAAAACGTGCAGCTTCACCCAGCCTTTTATTTTCTTTCTAAAAGCTTTTGTTCAACAATGGCGCCCTGTGGCCAAGCGTAAGATGAATGAGGTCAGGATGCACAGGTGACACTTGTGCAACACTTCACAGCAGCATTAGTACAGCAGCTCTGTCTTTATATGAAGTCGGTACAT